ATTTTAATGGTTTAGTTCAACTTTAAAAAGGTTCAAAAAGCAGATATAAACTGCAAAAAGTTCGAGTATAAAAGTAGTCTACTTTAAGAAATAAAGCGACATATAACCGACACTGTTTTTTTGTCTCGTTTAAATTGAGAAAAAAAACATTGATATCGTCAATCTTACACGTGGCGAGAATACATATACGTTTATAAGAAGCATGTTTGTCCATGTGATATAAACATATATATATATACTCTGGCCACGTGTATGATTGACGATACAGAGAGATTCGGGAAGTCGCGCCGCGACTACAGGACTTTATAGCGATTGCGACGCAAGATAACGAATCAATAGCCATCGCGTCGCGACTTTGAAATCGCTTTGCGAGTCTTCTAAAGTACGTTTCTTGAAAGAATACGACTTTACCGTGATCGCGTGGCGACTTCGCGAGTTCACAGCGATCGCGCCGTGAGTGTCGACCTGGGTTGTCTGTAATTTTTTACGATGATTAATAGCTCTGAATAATAAATGAAGGTAACGCAATTAAAAACAAGATGCATTCAACGTACTCCTAGTCAATATCACGGCCGTTCTGGAAGAGTGTACAAGAAAACAAGTTTGGTCGATCAATTTCTTTCAATTTATTCTCGAAAGGTGGCTTTATTGTGCTTTTTTCCTTTCGATGTTCTATTATTCTACTTATTGCCATAGAAAACTCCCTAAAACGAATAGCGACATATTTCCATATTTAGAGAGTGTCGAACCCAGAAACTATTTCCAAAGAAAGAGCTTTTAATTTACATTAACGTCCACTAAGTTTCAGTTTACCAAATGGTGTCACAGAAAAGTTAGCTAAAAATAACACACTAGTGCTCATCGGCTAATGATTGCATGACTCGCTAAGACAATAATCCATCTGCTACTATACCATTTAGCCTACTTCATCGGGAATAGTTAAATCTACTTTCTTTCCGTACCATTCCTTCCTCGGTTAGTTAAACCAGGTTTAGAAATGACACCGTTCACACGATCTAAAAAAGTTCATTAACGGTTAACGATTGGGGAATACCTTCGTCAGGCCCTGACACGTGGCTTTGAAAGCCACGTGTCTTTTTTGCACAGCTGAATGCACTAGCTTTATTATGTTAATACTTCAAGTTTTATTATTTACTGATCTCTCATAATTCACTCGTCACATGTGAATAAGTATTTAGTACGACGGACTATTTTGGTATCTGATTGACTGGCTCTATTAACTGAACGGATTGAGTTATAGAAATTCGGTTAAATAGCCAAGCTGGCAAGTTTCTAAACTGAATTGTTAGATTAGTATAACAAACGAAGTGTAGAAAAAAGACTTTTTCAACTCTCAGTCAACGAAAAGATTCTGTAAGTCAGAGGACCCAAAAAGTTTTTCTCAAGTTAAGTCTGACTTAAGTTGACTTGAAATTGAGGCGTTTTTGACTTGACGTGCCCGGTATTGTATGGGATGAACAATGACTCTACTTAGATCTTTAATATCATTTCTTTGCATTAAATATTTGGAAAAATGCATTTTTAAAATGACTTAAGAGACAGCCAAAATTAGAAGTTAATCAGAAGATTCGAAAAACCGTTTACCAAGTCAAATCTGACTTGACTTGCCCAGCTCAAGTACTACATTCATTGAACTGTAAGAAAATACACGTACTCATAAATGATTATAATTAAATATTGAATTTTTCTGCATGAATTGTAGAGATCAAATGGAGATGTCTGTAATGTGCTTGTGGTTACTACCGATATACAATCCTCAAAGTTACAAAAATACATAAAAACGGCTAGTTAAGATTTATAATTACAAAAGGCTTTATTGAAGAAATTGAGAGGTGGCTGAAATATGATCATCAAGTTTGTACGAAACCACTTTTGACAGGGTTTAATACGAAACCTTTTTTCGTTGATACAAAAATAGAGGCTTCGTAACTGAATGCCAGAACCCAGGTTCGTACGAAACTTGAAAGAGTATAGAAATGGTTGCAATTCTCTATAACCGCTTAGGTTTCGTACTGAACCATATTTTTTAGAGAGTAGACTGCTGAACAAAAATTTTTATGTGAAAGATTCTCAGAGACGATAAACATTTATCGAATGATGTAAACTTTTCGAGAATCATCCACAAAAAGTATAGTGTCACTTCATGCAAAATATCCTCTGTTATAGGACTATATATCTTTTGTTTCTTTATATATAAAGAAACAAAAGATTTTCTATAGCTTTATATGTTTCACAAGGAAAAAAAACGAAACTACTGGACAAAGAAATCGTCACGACTTAACACTGAATAACATTTTTCTTTCATCAATTTTTTCTAAATGTTCTATTGTTTTCTAGGCCTTATGCCTAGATATATGTATACACTACGGGGAGAAAAAAAGGATAAATAGCGTTCGTCTATATTGTAACCGTCGCCAGTTTACTATTGCATTTGCACTACGTATACATCAGTAAATTGATATTCTCTTATCGAATACACACAAAATGGCTGGAGTAAGTTATTGATTGATAATTCACCATGTATGCAATATTTCTTGCCAATGCTTTTCAGATCCGTTTATTACATTGTGTACTGTTAGTCACATTTTCATTCATTCAAGTTGGGTCAATGAACGGTTACACATCAAATATTGGCATGAAACAGGATCAAGTTAATCCAAATTATGGTCAAGGTGGTTTTGGACAACAGCAAGAGCAACAGCGTCCAATGTTTCGTCCTCAATTACAATCACAAACTAGTCAAGGTTCAAACTATGGCGGTAGCAGGTTTCTTGATCAATCACGATCACAAATTGGCAGCACATTTCAACGTAAAATGATGTTTGATCAACAACAACGTAAGCATTCGTCGAAATTAGCCACTATATGTATATTTCATGTTAAAATTGTTTTAGTTGTTGCTGGTATGGTTGAACCCAATATCAAATTTTTAGAAGATATAAAGGGTTCCGTTAATGAAATATCACTTGAAGAAAAATTAGCCAACATGTCGTCGAATTATGTATTCGATTTTAAAAACGCACAAGTTGGAGTTTCAACTGGAAATGGTGGAAGAGTCGTCTCAGCAAATGTAAGTAAGGAGAACACAATCAGTAGAATAAGGAGACCATTGTTTACTCGATTTTAGGCTCGTAATTTTCCGATTTTGATTAATCACAAAATAGCCATGACTGTCGGATTTCTTGAACCATGTGGAATGAATTTGCCTCATGTTCATCCACGTGCAACGGAAATTAATTATGCTGCAAAAGGCGATTTCCAAACGGGATTCTTTCAAGAGAATGGTGGAAAATTTGTTGGTCATATCGTGAGAGAAGGACAAGTGTCAGTCTTTCCACAAGGTGCAATTCATTTTGAACAAAACATGGGATGTGAGACGGCAATGTTTGTAGCCGCATTCGATCATGAAGATCCCGGTACATTAACAATTGCGGACGGTTTCTTTTCATTACCAACCGATATTCTTGCTGCATCGTTGGGTGGAATATCCGAAGATGATGTCATGCGATTGGGAAGTAATTTGCCGAAGAATGCTGGGTTTGGCACGGAGGAATGTTTGATTCGATGTGGATTAAAACCACAACAAGATCGAAACATTGATGTTCGACAACCAGTGAACAATTACGAACAATATTAAATCATTTGATATACTGCGTTCACAAATGCCACTTCAATTTCAATCTCAGCATAAAACGAAAATGAACAGTATTCGTAGTGTTTTTGTCTTCGTCGTTTTTGATTTTTTTAAACCGATATGATTGATTTTAAATTTTATTATTTTTTCGATGAATAAACACAGATGGTTTGTATCATCACAAAATTTTGAATTTTTGTAGATTATACAAGTTATCAGTTTTGAAAATGAAGAGTGTTCCAGAGAAGAGAGTGAACAACGAGCGAACATATAAACAAATAAAAATTAAGGAGATAAAATATAAATTGAATAAAAGAGATCAAATGAAAAATGCTGAATTTTATTAGATGAACTATATTCGAAACATTTTTCTCGTAGTACAATGTCATCAGTGAACTTGGAATTATGTGGATCTTTAATAATGTTTATTTCTAAACTTCGTAGTGCTTAGAAAGATTAGTTGATACTAGCATCTTAGGGCGAGAACGTTACAACTTCTTTGCTTCATGGAGCTGACACAATGAAAAAACATAATTAAAATTAGAATCACCATGAATAATGTACCTAAAGAAGTTTAGCGACGTCTAAGCAATCTACGTCAACGAGTTGGATGCGAAAACGCTTAATCCTATTTCAGAGAAAATATTTAATCTACTCATTTAAGTACGATAATAAACGTGTGACAACTAAACTGAGGCTATTTGTTTGAGATAACTACTGACGTTTGACGAAAATGTGTTATCAGTACGCATGGAATAAAATGTTAGAATCAGTGATCAGTGCATCATATTCCCTAGACTCGGCACCCCTTTACACTATGCGAATGTCAACATTCATTAACCTTTCATTTGTGATTGTCCACCGGGGTAAACGAAAATTCATATTGTTTGTTCATCGAGAATGGCAGTGAATAGTGATTACTTAACGCTTTGCCCAGCGGTACAGCTTGTATATTTCAATTATTTGGCGCCACTATTATGTTTATTACTGTATTTCAAGCAGTATTAGACTTGTGGTGCAAAAAACCAAAAAATAATTTTCATTACCACATTATTTTCTGATTTTGTATTGTTTCTGATCACTAGCGATGGATTTTTGCCTTTAAATCATCAATAATCATTATATCTTCGTTTTCTTAAAGCGTCAATAATCGTAAATAGTAACTTTAATCTCGCACGTGAGTAGATGGTGATCAATCTGAATAATTTATTTGATAATGCTATATCCAATACTAATTACAATCCATTTAAAAAAACGGTGTCTATGAGTATTTATGAATAACTTTTGAACAATGGCAGCTAGAGACTCGATGATAATGCTATATATAGGCCATTTGGTCATGATTACCAACGACTAGGTTCGAGTACTAATCGAGACACATTTTCCCCTAACGCAAACTGCTGTTAAATCTACTCTAATCGAATCATTTTTATTAATTAAGTGAAACAGTTTAAAAGGAAAAACTTTAAAATGCTTTTTAAAAAGGTGGTAATTATTTTTAATTTCATAAACAGATTGATTAATGAATATATTATTCTTTTAGGCCTAATGCGTAGACTACGACCTCAAAGAGAAAATACTTTTATTCCTTAATTAGTCAAAATTCTAAAGAATTATAAAGCTAGTTAAAGCTTTATTGAGTTTCGCTCGTTTTCGATATCGTTCTTTTTCTTAACATCTAAAGTAAGGCGTCAAAATTTTAGCTTCGACGTCTTATTCCTCTTGAAACTAATTTAAACAAATTTCAATCCTTGGGAGTAAATATATTAAATACGATGAATAAAATAAAATTTGAGACAGTTATTTTTAATTATCTTTTGTATGTATATACGAAGTTTGGAAATGTTGAAGCCCTATAAAATTTGTTTTTAAATCTGATAGATAATACTTTTCTGTCATGATCACCGTATAAACGATGTCTAGAAAAAAAAGTAATATTCTTGAGCTTTTCTGCGTTAATTAATTGAAAGGATATTCTAACTAAATGTCAGTTGATTTAAAAAATAGAACTTAAGGATTCCCCTCAGCAATTCGATGGTTTCTTCGAAAACTTCGAAACTGGAATTACTTCAGTGAAGTGAATATACGGTCCAGTATCCCAAAATGTCATCTTTCAGAACCCATCTCAGTTCAAATTCAATGTTTGTGGAGGATTTTGAAAGAGATTTCTGAAAGCCGTAAAAATCACGTTTTTCTAAATTTCACGTTTCAATTAAAGCTTTTAAGGTTGTCCGTTTTAACAGACATGGAGCTATGTTGAGCAGAGTGTTCTGATCAGAATGAGATATCCAGCAAGTTAAAGAAAAGTTTTTTCCTGACGGGGGGAGCGTTAATTGATTTTGAAATAGTTTATCTTTTTAAAAATTTTAAGTTTCGAGCATCGTTAATTCACAGAGAGCTCACTTAACTAAATTAACGCTTTTTTTCTTACAGGCTGTACTCGATTCACTGATTGTTTGTCATTGATAATAGAGCACTGAGATGATGGCATAGTAAAGAACGGAGGCGATTATTTGATGGAATCGGCCCCTGCTCGAATTCGATCGACACATACATGGTTAGATCCAGAATGAACAGGAGAACATTTTATCACAATTTTATATCAAGAAATTACTTTTTGGACTTACTAGTTTATTGCCCCATACTTCAGATCAACCATTGTTATCTATAAATATATTACAAAACAATTTACATTCAAGTTCAAATCAGTCGAATTTAGAACGGAAGAAACTTCCTTATTCACAAGCACTAACATTGTTTCCCATATTTAAGCAGTGGTTATTCAGTTCTACGTTAACTGAGTAGAAAAATATGAATGACTGTTGATATAGTAGTTCTCGAGTATCGTCATCGTACGCACAAGTTGTCCTTTCATGAAATAAACGTTACCACAAGATGCAGTATTCTCGAAAACTTATATTTTCATTTGTTTTTGATACTAGATGTCATTTTATACCACTTTTAGAAAAATCTGTCCAGTATCTGAACAGCGAAATATGGACGTGTCGAATTTTCGGTGATACCTAGAACGAATATCGGTGGTAGTACTAAACCATGTCCAAATGATAAAATGCGGATAGAATATTTTTGTATGGCAACATCGTCTTTAAAAACGTTCACGGTACATGATTTAAGCTCTCAAACATATGCCTCCTCGATCAAATGTTGAAAACTGGGAGTCTCTAGCTACCATTGTTCAAAACTTATTCATAAATACTCATAGACACCGTTTTTTTAAATGGATTGTAATTAGTATTGGATATAGTATTATCAAATAAATTATTCAGATTGATCACCATCTACTCACGTGCGAGATTAAAGTTACTATTTACGATTATTGACGCTTTAAGAAAACGAAGATATAATGAT